GGTATAAACTTTTAATTGAACCCATATCAGTGACCATATCAGAGCATAGTAGCATTTATAGTGCTCAAACTTCATTGAAACAAATGTTCCAATGCGCATTTTGTTTCAAATGGAGGTGCAATCTCTATCACTTACCAAGCGCTCCAAAATTGGTGTCTTGCCCCCAGTGGGCGAAGTACGCCGGCCATCGGAATGACATTAGAATGGGGATCCGAATGAAGGGTCGTTAAAACGGTGAATGAATTATTTGTCGTACCCATCACTGTAATAATCTATGGTGTCTGTTTGGGGTTGGCCTTATGTTCTGTCGCAAAGCCGATACTTCTTGTATGGTTATTTCTTTTGCTGCGTCAGTCATTGTTGGAGAATTATGACTAGCCTTCAGTGCAACAGTGAAAGACCCATGGGCGTAAATCCCGGGGAGATGAGCCTTCATGTCACCCCACTTTTGGTGGCTGATGGGCTAATAAATCACCCCCCCATGTTTTGTGGTCCACATGAGCAAAAGCAAAAACTAGAGTGGATTTTCGGGCTTTGCAACGACTAAAGTGCATTCAACATCACTCAATAAAGGAGAACTAAATCTTAAAGCCATAAATATGTCATTCTGATGTGAGAATCTGCATAAATGTGCTACATAACAAAATACGCCATGCACGAACATGGACTTCTATAGTGCCCTCCCCCATTTTTTCCCCCAAATTTTCATGGCCGGGCAAGTCATCCCCCGAACACACACCCTTCCCTATCCCCCCGACTAATTCCGGCATAAAACCGAAAAGAACGGTTCACCAAAATGCTCAAAAATATCACGGAGTTATTAAAACACTTTATAATTATAGAGCAATATATAAATTCAAGACCGCTGAACGAGCACGGACGGGGGCCGTGAAAGGTTCAGTCTTGTCTTAGGTCAGTCCGTCGAATGATTCCTCCGCTCATAAACCACCTTCTAATTTGTGCAGCCTTATTGTGGGCGCAATGGCCATTTCGACTCTTGACTAGTGCGTCAGTTATTTAAAACCACAGCCAAATAATTCGGGCACGACCGGCAATGCAACCATCAGCATCAGTGTACACTTTCAAAGCATACCGCCCTCTTTCGTCCAAGCCAATTTCCCCAATGTTTTGTCCACGCAACAATTAATTTTTTCCGTAAAGGCCAAGCATAGGATGTCCATGTACATGCAAACTTACAAGTAAAGTCAGCTTCTCTCTCAAAAATCACAGAAGTGCTAACCTTGACACAGGCAGTCATTACAGTGACAGTAGAGTGATGGCATGATCCCAGGGCAACTCGGTAAACCCTGAGCAAAGGGGGATTGGGCAAAATTGTTTTCAGTTCAGTGGGACCATGGAGTTCCTTCCTCCATGGTGGGACAAACATTTAGAAATATCTTTATATGTCCTTTAATCTGTGGCCTTTATGAAGGGTAAGACCACAGTCCGGGGCTTTTCGACATGCTTGTAGAGGGAAGAGGAATGGAATAGACCAAAAATCTATCATTATGGCAGTCGGACAACTGGTGACTGCAGTGCATCGAAGAGCGTGAACTAGGGAATTTTTCCCCTTTGCGTTGTGCTGAAGGGCAATAGTGACGTCATATCGACCGCGAGAATAGCTCCTGGACCCCCGATCAGTCCTTGCCCAATCCAACCACTCTACAGTTTCGCTGTCACTTAATAAATTATCCAGAGATGCAATAAGTTACAATAACCTCAAACTCGGTTAAGTAGGTCAGATTTTTGTAGCTAAGTCGGGACTCACTGAGACATCCTTTCCCAAACATTTGTCTAGTCTACAGGGTCAAAATATCAAGACTGTATACTAATACTATTCTCATCTTACGTAATTTTTGTGGGAGCTTCAGTGTTTCTTTTTTTTTTTGGTCCAACTGATTTTTCTGCTTGTACATTCCGATGAATCCATTTAAAACACCGGCACGTTTGAATTGCAAGTTAACTTTAGACAGGAACTCCGGAACAATCTATCGAAGTATCAACTTGTATCAGAACTTGTCATGACTGAAAACGATCTAAAAAACCAAACACCCTTCAGTTTAGCAGTCGCAGCGCCCTCTACCGAGAACATAAATAAAATTAAGGTCTTTTTTCAAAGCAGCTTCGTTTCATTCAGCTTCCCAGGTTTTGAGACTCCCAATCTTGGAACCTCTAGCTCAATGCAGTTACATGTTTTGCTTTAATATTACTTAAATAATCAATGAAATAAAATTGTTTTTCATTCATTCCGAATTATACATAACTTTCAAATAATCATAGTGGATTTAACAAAACCCAAATGGTGGCGAAGCCGAATTTTGACAAATGCCTGTCCGATGTATTTGTTATGTTGTGATGTGCTGCATACTGCACTGGTGTCCGTTGACATGATGTGCGTGTACTGTGACTGAACAGTGCAAAGTCGTTGAAAACCAGGGAAAGGTTATGGGAAATGGCGGCGAGCGCTGCGTCGGCTGTGTGTCCCAGGAATAATTGACAAGGTGAACATCGGGAAATTGACGCCCCGCGACAGGAATACTGACTGATTTCATTCCCGTGGCGGAAAACCCATCTTGTACTGTGTCCGCAGACATGCCACGATAGTGGCTTCGAGTTCGAGGACCATGGATTGGGGAGGACGTTCAACCACGTCCGCCGTGACCACGGGAGTGGACGAGCTTGCATTGGATTTGGATGCAAATCTAGCCGACCTCAGCTTAGAGAAGACGATCACTAGTAGTTTGAAGGTAAATTTACCTTGTGTGCCTATTTATTTGCCTGTTTGGCAGTTGTTTATCGCCTAAATACTTCCGATTTTCCTACTGTATTGAATAAGATACTTATATTCCAACTTGATTTGTGTGCACGAGCAATTCTTGAATAGCCCTTTGAAGTGTGTCTGGGAAGAGTTCCATAGCCTCATCATTCATTGGCTGTCCATCATATTTGCGTGCACAAGAGCAATTCTTGAATATGAAGTGTGTTTGGATTTAGGAAGAGTTCCATAGCCTACAGACACCAGAATTCCCAACAGTGACCCATTAGCCACCATAAAGCCAAAAAAGTCCAGAAAAATTCAATTTAGGAAGGAAAAACCAATATGGGGGCCTACTTAGAAAACCTTACATTTTTTCAGACCGGTCTCCTAATGTTTGTGCACAGGATGTCAAGTGGCATCCCTAACTCTTTCCGTATGGTTTTTATTTTATTTTGCCGTGGTAGATCTGAGCGTACATATTTTTTTCAACAGCCATTATTGAACTGACACCATATTAATGCTCAATTCCCCTGTTCAAAATGGGTTGCTGTTTGATTCAAATTGGCAGTTTTGCTAACTTTTTTCCCCTGGGTCCCTACTTAATTCTTAAAGAACAATGAAAATGGTGCAATATTACCAATTTCAAGTTTTCAAATTAAATCCCAAATAAAAATGGAAGATGTTTCACTCTACATTTGTAGATCTGAGGCTCTAAAGATATTTTAAAGGGAAAAAAGTAGAAAATTACTCGTGCATTCATCCCACAAATACTAGCCTATAAATTCACAACTGGCAGTGCAAGCCTAGCTTGAACCATGAACCATTGTGATAAAAATGTCTAAGTCTCCCAAACACTCACTTTGCACATTAATTTAAATTGTTGTGCTAGTAGGACCTTCAATAGCAAAAGCGTATCTGAACCAGTTTACTGTCAAATATCCTCTGCCTTTGCACCATTTTCTTTTTTTGTTTGGTCAATTGATAATGCCTCCAAACATGTGTCACGTGTAAGTACACCAGTGTGATTGTAGAGTGAGTGAAGGCTTGTCCTGGTACAATTTGGATCCAGTGCTACTCATGTCCTGGCCAAGTTGGTTGCTACCCCTTTTCGTAATGTGATTTCTGATGTGTTCTTTTATTGTCACTATTAAAATCACAGTCTGCCGAAGAAATTGAGAGACTTACAGTGGATGAACGCTTGAGTGATATTGAACGCGCTGTGTACTTGCTCAGGTGAGTGCCACTTTACAGCACATGATATCGGTCCCTTTCCCCTTCTGGGGCATTAGAGAATTGAACGGTTGTACTCATGCAGTTGCCATGGAAATACAATTATACCAAGAATATTCCATTAGTTTCCTGCATAGTGGAGGCTTTTAGAGGATTCAGGAAGGTTTCTCGCGAAAAAGCAACTCTCAAGACTTGCGATTAAACAAGCACTAATTAGACCCATAACTAGTTCCTTCCTACATGTACACCTGACCTTATTCAAGGAACCATACGGTTTTGGATGAGTCTGTAAGACCTTTTGAAGCTGTCTGTGGGCATTCATCACAGAGTCCTACTGTACATGTAGTTCAATTTTGCTAGTTCATTTTTCAAATTTCACGACGCCATTGCATGATACTGGTACCTGCTTGGCTTTGTGTGATTTGTTTGCATCAAAGATTGGAACCGCTGTTTTTCTTAGTCTGCACACATTATGAACAAATACATGTACGGTATGGTTTGTTAAGATTATTATTTTTTTTTCTTGTGCAGTTTGTTTGCAATAAAAACAAATTTCAATTTGTTTGAGAAAGTACAAAGCAGTGTGTACATGTGCCTGTATATGGTCATTTTGTGACAGTTTTGGACTGTGTACATACAGTATCTGTGATTTTTCTGAACTTAGTGTATGATTCCAAGTCAATAATTCAGGATCTATAGGCAAATATTACATTAGATCACACCTACCCCATGCAAAAGTTTCCAGCATTGAACTGAGCAAATGAAAATCAAGAACATCAAAATACATGTATACGAGCATTTATACAAAGTGTGAGAGTGCATTTTGCTAGCAGTACATTCACACATTTTACCGTTGCAAGTCTAAAATCCCTCAGGTGGAGATCAAAGACCTTTTCCCAGGAGAGTTGATACATTACATGGCACTGGTTTGTTACATGACCTTTTCAGTACATTCTTTCTTCTTGCTTGTGTGCACCCACTAAAGTCCACAGGGGCTGAACTTTCTTTCACGTCAGTGGTTGTGAAGAATAAACAAGAAGTTCAAGCAGGCATCCAGGGTTGGCTTGTGGCTTTTGATGTGCCGTGAAAGGAAAACATCATTCAGGCTTTCAGTATCTTCTGCGTTTGTGTGCAAACAATCGGCATGAGTGGACAGATTGTTCTATTTTAGCAGGAGAAACAAGTTGTGGGAACTTTTTTTTTTATGAAAGGAGAATAGCGATAGCAAAGAAAAAGTGTACAAAAAAGATGATCATATCTGTGAGAAAGATGACAAGTGGTTCCAGAAGTGGCCTTGAAATTTAGTTTCGTTGCAGTTTTGCTGGTTCAAACTTGAAACATGTTATCATAAATAAAACATTCAACCCTGTTTTTTGCTTCAACTGAATTATTGGAATACCATTCAAATAAAAAGTCTACTTGTTCCTTTTTATTTAATTTGATACCACATTTGTATATGCATTTGTGATGGTTTCAGGCATGGGAATCTTTCCGGTTTAATCGGAATTCCGTTTTTGTCACCTTCAAATTTGTGGTCTTCGAGTTCAGTGTCAAAATGGAATAAAATTTGGGGGGCAAGTTGTAGGGGGGGTAAATGTTAGTTGACCACGCCACGCTCAAAACTTCCCTAAAACTTAGTGAAATTTGGTCCTTGAAACAATTCTATTTACACGATGCTTCAGGACCCTTTGAAATGTACGAGGAACTAATTTTGCAGATTCCTACAAAACCTGAATTCTCTAGGGCCTCAGATTGCACCACAGCGTATCTAGAATCCAAAATTGTCCCTTAAGCGGGCCCCGGACCCCACGCCATAAGGGCTCCGCGCTCGCAGTAGTCTCCCCATGATTAATTTCATCAAAAAAAATATTTTCAGGATTTTTTGTTTGTTCCCATTCACATCATAGTGGTCTACATTTCTGACTCTGTCCACTTCTTCATGGATTAGCCCCGGAGGAGTATTTCATGTCCTCTACAGCTTCGAGAAATTGAAGTTTAGCCCCTGTCCGCACAACTCTAAAATGAGTTACCTGAAATATGATATCAATAAGCTGGAGCTATTTTTAGACATATAGACAGGCATCTTCAGACTTTACAGTAGAGTCTCCCCTGGCAGTTATTTGTCTAGCCACAGCTTTGTTTCTGTAACCTCATAAAAACCCATGTACATGTACCTGTAGGGTATATGGATGGTTTGAATAAACTAATAGGCGTGTCATCTTGGATTGTTTGTGTTGCTAGACAGAATCCTTCAAACTGTTATTGATGAAACTCACACCAACTGTAAAAATATTACGTGTACTGTACATGGATCATGTCAATATACCATGCCACTATACTGTGTCATGTCAATAGTATGGTACATGTACATGTATATATGTATGTACACAAATATAGATAAGAGTTGAAGGTTTTCATGGTGAAAGAACTACATGAGTAAAACGATTGCAGTTTCACCAGGGATAAATCTCTTTCTTGAGTGTGTGTGGTTGTTCTGAGAAGAATCGGGGTATAAGTTGACGTTTCGAACAGTGTACTCTGTCCGTCTTCAGTCCGCAATCGTTTTTTTACTCATACACAAATATACATGTACATGTAACATATCAGTATCCATATGTACATGTATGTGCCAATAGTTACCATGTACGCGTATGTACTTGGAAAGGAATCAGAGGTAAACTTCCAGCTGGACTGTGACATTTATTTTGATGATTTGAAAATAACAACAAACCCATTTCTTTTGAGTGAGCCTCAGTTTGTATTTCCGGGTTTGCAGCAAGTCACATTGAGCAGTACGATGCGTGTACCTACCGTACATATTTGGGTTAAGTCTCCTTCCTTTCATTTCAAAGACAATTGTCTAGATGAAGTGGCAGTGTACCAGTGGGGCTGTAGCATACTGGTAGTCAATAGAGCACTGGTATGATGGATTGGAGATAGCCCGTTCCAATTCCGCTTCAGGCAATTTCTTTCATCTGAACAATGAACGTGAATACATGTAACTGAAGCTTTGTGAAAAGACAGTAAACTTTGTTACAGTTCCAGTATGGTTTAATGTTGACTTTCAAGGTATTTTTTCCCCGAGTCCTCCAAAGTTCTTCACCATGCAACTGTGCAAAATAGAATACAGTGGCTGAGACGAATACACGTACCTTCCTAATGGCACGTTAACCATTTACTTTTACAAATTCTATATCAAGCAGTTACTGAGGCACGACAAAATATGTCTTTCCATGGAGTGATTTGGACGCTTCTTAAAAAAACCCCGTGAGCTATTTACATGTACCCACATGTACCCACAGAAACAGCTTAATCCGTCTCCTTTTTTTGTTCTGTTTGCTAAAGGTACTGGCAGCACTACTGCACCCGTTACCCTTTGTAGCATTTGGATGATGTCCAAATGCCTCAATACGCAAATTTATATGTGTTGAGCACCTGTTCGGGAGTGTCGCATAAATCAAAGCACGCTGCTTTTTTTGGTCGCAGTGAGCCCCTGACACGTTTACGTGATTGGTGTTCCTGTGAGGGGAAACATTTCATTCTGTGAATTATGTACATGTACATGCACTGGTACAAGGTATGTTATTGTACTTGAGTCTGATCGTGGTACACTGTACATGAACCTCTGCTACCATTTATTTTTTCTCCATTTCAAGCTGCAGTTCAGCATCACCCTCAAGAGTTGTTTACGATATAAAATTAAACATAAATTAAATTGTTATGGTTTTTTTGAGCTGGTTTAACACAACATGTAGAACATAAGATAGAGTCAACATTTCGATCCGGAGATCTTCATCAGGACTGACTAGAATAGTAGATGGCCAGGCATACATGTAAATACCGAAACACTCAAGTAATGGAAATAAACAACAGCTGTGTGGTAGGCAAGTGAAATACATGTTACTGTAGATAAACTATGTCCATGCAGGTGTTCAAATAATATAAAATTATTTTATTACCGACTCTAATTAATTTTATTCCCAGCTATTTACAGCCTAGTAGTGTATGCAAACATGTGGTAAATTGTAGGGTTAAAATGTTCTGCCTGTTGCTGTGTGCCTTGACATCATTGTGGTCATCGTCTGACTTAGCGAAACCTTTGCACTGGGGCTGTATTGATGTGCTTTTTTTTTTTAATTGTGTCCTTGTCATTAACCCTGGTTAACCCCCCAGACCCTAAAAATCCATTGGAAGGTGGACTTTGTAGGATTTAGGGAGGTGCAAAATGAAAAGCTTAGCTGCTGTCACATTATGCCAGTTAATGATGTACTAGTCATGTGCAGTAGACCGGAACCTGTGGCATTAGCTCAGTCCAAAACAGCAGATTGTCTCTTTGGAGGGGCATTTTGTTGGTACCTTGAAAGATTTTAGAGGGTTTTGCAGGGTCCAGGAATTTCTTTCAAAGAATGCATAGGGAGTTAGGGTGAAGTCAGTGCAGAGGTTGTTAGTACACTGGTAAATGTACCTCTTGTGTGGTACATGCATGTGTGTTGGCATTTTGCAAGCGTGAAAGTTAGAACCCACAGAGGGTCGTATTTTATTTTATCAAATTCAAAAACATACATGTACATCCCCATAATGAATTAGTAGGCATAAAATCTGACTACGTTATACACGTTATAATTGTTTTCATAACAGTGCACACTTTTAGGCTGCCTTAATTCCAATCAAGGCACAGTTGTGTTCTTCGTCTTATCTGACATTAAAGGTTCAACTTTTCTGGTTAATGAGCACTGAACTTCTCCAATCAGCTCTGTCTAAATGTGATCAGTGAAGACATTTTTGTGAATAATTGAATGTTGTCTTTGATCTTCCCTTGCAGTTCTGGGCAAGAGGTTCAACGAATCAGCGTCATCAACAACCTGCCTCAGCTCTTACGAGACCATAACAATGAGGCTATGCGAAGAGTGGTGCCCAAAGTCAGGGTAGGCACATGGCCGTCTTTCCAATAAGCTGTCCTTGTCACAGGGTTGTCATTTCTCAGGTTTTCTTTTCTGGATTCATTTTTTTTGCCCATCCAAAGGTGCTAGATTTTAGGAGGGTTAATCATTTCATTTTTTTGTCACTTTTGACACTTGGTTAAAAAAAAGAATCCTTTGCAGAATTGACACAAAAATCTAAGTAAGCAATTTGAAAACTTATTACCAATATGGAAGCTGTCTGACATGTGCTATGCAGTACTGGTAGGTACATGTACTGTACATGTGATGAACATGTTCCTGTGTACCGGTTACTTGTAGGATTGTACATGTCTTTGAAGCAGACTGCACCTAATCCTCGGAAATGAAACTGCAGAGAAGTAAACACCTCCCCCATACACACAGAGTATAGCCAGATGTTACGTTCAAAGGGCTGTAGTGACTTCCATTCCCTGAAAATGAATTTTTTGGGGGGATGTTGGTTGGCTTGCCTGGTAATCAAATGTATGTACATGTACATGTGGGAGAATACACGATGCATGTATGCTAAAAAATACTGTACGTATAAATGCTAGTGATGTGAAAATCAGTAGCTGCTACTGTCCCATGAACTGGTAGATTCTTGGTACGTAAGAAGTCCTGTGGACTTGAAAAAACAATATGTTGGGGCTTGAGAAATGTACATTGGACACAGCTTAGTGGGCTAAGATTTTTAACACAGTCTAAATGCAGTAGTTCTGAAATTGTCTAGACCTTTTTCAGCCTGGTCTGTACCAAGGTGATTCAACATCTGAATGCAATTAGTAATTTTCAGTGTGGCTTATGAAAGCCTGGATTCAGCTTCTTGTCACACTGTGCAATGTTGACTTCAGCTTGCAAAGGAGCAGTGTGCTTGATCAGTGTGTATTGTGTGTAACAGTCATTAAGGCAAGGTGGACATTACATACATGGACAGTAGGAGTTTGCTCTGCCATGCATTTGTGTACGGAAAAGCTGAGACAGGGTCATTTAACTGGATCATGGCCCAACTATCAAACATTCTGTTCAAACAAACCACTTGATCAGCAATATAGAGCTTTATAGGCTCCTCCCCTCCAGATCATAGGGTACTTCCTAGTTTATGTACATCACACATTATGTGTAATGGGAAAAAATGACACATGGTATCATTAGTGCGCTGGTTTTTGGCCAGACAAAATAACGATTGTGCATAACTGCATGCAACCGTGTGGATTCAGCAGCATACATGTATGTTTCTTCTCTCCCAGAGATGCTAAGGGTTTGTACGCATTTCATTAGAAATTGGACATGTGATGTCAGAACACAGACATGTACATGTACCATACATGTACTTGTATCTGATGTTTTTGTGTTCCTCAGGATGCAAGTTGGCAATGCATTGTCAGCCTTTTTTTAAATGCAGATAGAAGGGGAACGCTACCAGTACAAAGTTTGTGGTGGAGTGCATTAGGGTGGAACAAGAACGGTGTACTAGTGTACCAGTCTCTGACACTGTTGATTACCCATAGAACTGTTGGGGAAAACCTGAACCCAGTCATGAAGTATTTCATCATTTTGTGATTCCACTGCAAAGTTCTTGATGCTGTGTGGCCACCCTGCACGATGTGAAAGGAAGTTAACCAGAAGTTCTTTTGAGGGCAATTTCAAAGGCAAAAAAGCCTTTGGTTGAAAAATATGGTTTTGTAGTTTTTTTTTCTTGTTTATGAGTAACCAATGGTGAAAAGCTGTACATTGATTTCAGAAATGCTGTTTTGAAATTTGCGGGAAAGATCTTGGATGATGAAACTGAAAAGAAAAAAACCAACATGGAACCAGGTACCTGTTATGTTTGGATCGGGTATCGGGGTACTTTAGATGGGTCACAGTTTAAAGGTGCACCAGTATCCTGTCTGCATCTCCTCATCCCTCTGTGTCTCATTCGGAATTCCCAGGAAGTCCTCCATTTGGCCAACTGCGATCTGCAGGACGCGGCCACCAAGGTGTTTGTCACCATCATCGAGGAGCGCATCGTCACGCCGCCGGTGTATGCCCAGAACTTCCTGCCCACCATCATCGCCAATGTGGACAACCGAGACCCAGGTCAGTCCGATGTCCAGCGCATACAGTGCTGCACGTGAAGGACAAACCAATCTTAGTATCGCCCATGTTTGCCCGTTCGCAATGCAAGCAATCTCCTAAACTGCCCATCTATCTGCCTTTCTCTCTCAGAAGAGGGGGGAAAAAAAACCACCCCTTAAAAATCCCACTATCCGTTGTTTTTGCATCGTTTGTTATGTTTGTTCAACATGAAAACGCTTGCGCACAGTTGTTGGTTGTGCTAGTACTTCCACATGCAGTAGCCTAGGCCTGCCTGGAATTTATATTTAATGGACTTACTGGCAAAAGTTTTGATCTTCAGGTCAGAATTTGATTATCTGAAGGTTTCCAGTTTTTACTTCAGTTCCCGAAATCCTGCTCATGATTTGAAATAGACATTGAATGCATGCATTTCTGCATGTGTTTGACGCCTGTACACGTAGCTCTTTTGAATAATCAATATTAGTGCTTCTGAAAACTGTTTCATGCAGCAGTGTAAATTTTGCTAAATTAATTTTAAAAATATTATGAGCGAAGATTGGAAGACTAAATATTGGTAGCAGTTTTAATCATTTTTTTTGCTCATTGATGATATTGGCTTTTTCAACTGGTGGCCTTGCATTTGTTTACCCCATTGTATTGATTTGTTTACAATGGGTGGGCTATTGTACAGATGAGCTGTTTGCTCTTTAGGCTGTCCGCAGTCCGTTGCATTGTCAAGAAAATCCGCTGTTAAAGGGAGCGGCTTTTGAAGAGGGGAAGGCATCGACCAATCCCATTGATAAGCTGTACACAAGTTCGTGGAAAACACAAGGCAGCACCTTGAGGTGTCACACACGCTGCAGAGCCAACAGCAACTGAGATGCGGACTGTTGATTTGCACTGTGCAAACTGAAACAGTTTGAAGGGTGTAAGAAACACCGTCGCCTCAGCCAAGGTGTACGGGGTGTTTGTGTCACAGAAATTCAGACTCAACAAATGATCTCTTTCATCCCTCAGAGAAAGTAGTTTCTTTAAAGGGGGCCAGTGTGAATCAGGGTTTTATTCTGTGAGGCACCTGTAGGGGACGGGGGAGGGTGCATGACAGTGCTCAATGTGAAGTGTTGTTTACCAAGCATCTGTAACACTGACATGTACACATGTGCTCATAGGAAGTACAGTGTATGTGATGTGTACACATGCATGCATGTACGACAGGATATAGTCAATTAAAATACATGTTGTACATGCAGGCTACTTGCAAGGTGATGACTTGAATGTTAATTTGGTCTGGGTAGGATCTTCTCGGAAATATGAAGGCCTCTAGTACCTGCATACCGCTCCATTTGGTTGTTTAATACCAGAATGACTGACGAACAGTTTTACATGACATTACATGGCAATTCTGTATTCACAATACGAGTATTGAAATTCACGATAGTTTGTTCATGTATTCACCATCAGCTGAATAGACCAGCTGCATAATCCACGATACTGGGTACATGTACCTTTAGTGTACTTTTTAACCACTTCCTGTGGAGATTATCTTTGGCCGAAAAAAAAAACAGGATTTTGAAAACAGCAATTTGATACAGCCAAATTTTGAAAGTAAGTCGGAGGCAACTCTTGAGATTTAGTTTCATGTGATCCTTCATGGTGCGACTTTATTGTTTTCCACTACTCTGAGGTCTGTCCACAGAGCAACACATTATGATGATAGGCCAGGGACATGTGCAGCAGCCAAGTTCAAGTCAAAACACAGTCCATCTCCACAGATTCACATTTTAGGAAATGAGACCTGATACATTTCTTCCAGTTTGAACTGATGGTAGACCTCTTCCTTAAGTATTACATTTACAATCGGGCTCCTTTCTGGTTACCATAGATGTTGCGATTGCTATGTAGTCTTGACATTTTTTTGTTTTTCTCTCCGCATAACTGAATGAATGTCCCATGGATCTAACTAAAAAACCTTGGATGTAAGTGTGTATTCTGTGTGTAGTAACAAAGTTGTGTTTGATTTACATCACGTATATACTGTGTGTACAAGGAAATAACCCCTACAATGTCCGCACAGTTTTTACGTTTTTTCTTTACAGTGTCACCCATAATTTATCCGCAGAGAAAGATTTTTTTTTTCAACATTGCAAAAAAGTGTTGCAGTGTGCTTGAACTGTCATTTCAGACATGCCCTGCTTGATGTGAAAATCCGCAATTTTCTCCTTCTTTTTTTTTGTGCACATCTCATGTACATTCCCAGACAACTTGTAGTCATTATTGCCTCCATGTACGGTGTAATTTCTTTTTTGTCTGCGAACATCTACAAAACATGTCTATGCTGGCTTTGTTTGCCCTTCATTGCCCATGACTTCTTGCTTACTAGTGAAGACATCATGTAAAATTTTGCAGTACCCACTGCTTATTGGACGCAGATCAGTCAGTTGACCCTGGCAAGCTATTCGTAAGTGGTTGAGTAGTAAGACTAGTCAGCACCAGCAAGCAGGAGGTCGTGGGTTTAAATTCCACCCAACTCCCAAGTAAGCTTGTGACTGCTCAGCAAGCCCTCGAAAAACACTGCACATACATGTACTAGGGTACATGTACACTGTTTCTAAAATACACGTTGTCAAAGGGGAAAAAAATTGTACAATGAAAACATAACACACAAAATTGTGTCGTGCATGTTTGCTCATGTCCAAGGGAAGACCTACCAAGTACAAACGTTTTATATTAGTGTACTCACATTGTGTACCTAACTTAGTTAGCTTGATAAGTGGAAGGAGAAAATTAACATGTTAACACAGGATTTTCAATCACCAGTGACACCCAGGTATTAGTACCATCGTAGAAACATGCACCGCCTTTCTTGTGAAGTTTCCTTGCCCGTTCATGGTTTGTTTGCCTTACCCCAAATTTACACTATGTGACCTACTGAGGCTAAATGAGGAATGATCCTCAAAACCTTGTTTTGAGTAATTGGCGGTTAAAGATGGATATACGTTGAAAAAATCACGCCAAAATCGATTTTCTGGTTTTTAGATTTTTAGGTAGGTTAAAGTGTCAAAGATTTCCTCAAGCTATGCCATTTGTGCAAGAAAATCAGGCAAAGGTGATAAAAAGGGGGATATTGGAGTGAGTCTTAAATTTATAGTGTTTACCGTTTACATAAAGAAGTTTTGTCCATATTCCGAGCACATTTTCAGGCAGTTTGACTGTTAACCATGCATAAAGTTTGGTACTGTTGGAACGGGCTTTCCCTAGAGAGCCTTTTTTCGCATTGTATTTTCGGAGTGGAGTTACCTACTAGTATAAATGTGGTATCACTGGAAAGCCCATTCATTTCACTTTATTCTCGTATGTATATCTCAAAAAGTAACAAATGGGGATCTTTCCTCATTATGCCATAGCAGGTCACATGTGTCGTGAACAAGTACAGTAAAAACCTGCCGAATAAAGTTAAATTCCTACACTTAACTTGAGTCATGTCTGTTCTGACTTCTTTGCCATGTGGTCACCCATAGAAAATACATGCAGTTGCAGAGGATAGGTGTACATGTACTAGTAATCTGAGCTGAAGTGTGAGAAAGGGTTTTTTGGAGGGGGGGTACAAGTGAAATTGACCTCACCGTGATGTATGGGCGGCGTAAAAAAAAGCCCATGGTAACATCAGCTTTTTTTGGAAGATCAGTCAGTTGCATTGGCTGATTAGGGGAGGGAGGAGTGGGGCCTACAAATGCTAAGCCAGCATGATGATTGAATTTGTTATCTTTGTGTTATGAAAATGGTGAGAGAGGGGGCAGTTTGGGGGGTGTTTTGTCTCCTTTCCAAAAGCGTGTAAAAGTCCCAAAATTTGTAGTCTCGTCAATCATGTACCCAGCGAGAAATGAGACAGAGGTTACCCCCTTCAATTCCAATCCCCACACATACTCTAGACTATTGTCACCTAAGACATCCTTCTTACATGTAGATGTCTGGGAAGAATTTCTGAGATTCCGGTGAAATGGTGATCAACACAAAGTTAGGGGAGGGGGTTCTCTCCGTCTCATATTTTGCTTCATATGGTTCCTCAGAAAGGCTGCAAAAGGTTTCATAAAGAAATAGTCAAATCTTTGCTCCTTCAAAAAAATTTGGTTCTGGATCCACCCTTGGTCAGTTAACTCATGTTGAGCCTAACCTTGGCTTGGAAAGAATGTTGTTAGGGTGTTGGTCAGTACGTTGTCCTGGCTGGAGAAAGATTTGTACATGTAGGTGAGAAGTTTGAGGGAAGGGTATTTTGTATACTGTGGGTTTACATGCTTCGAAATGTTTCCTTTTTGGGATGGTGAAAAGGCCTCCAGTTTGCATGTTCCTCAAACAACATCATGTGTTGTGGGTGATGCATGAGGTGATCGAATTTCATAATATATTGAATTGTATTCTCTTTGCTGGAAGTTACAGAGAAAAACCTTGTTGAAAACACTACCCTTTATCCCTGCATGAGGTTGGCAAGCATGTAAACATGGCTCCCTCTGTGATGGTACCTGGTACGGTGTTGAAAATATTAACCTTTGAGTGAATATGAAATGTTTTCATACATGTATATGTATGTAGCCTTCAGGGGTTTTAAGTTTTGCATGGTTTGGAGGTGATTAACATTGAATGACATGTTGGTAGATTCCGGGATGTGCAATATCTGTTGAAAATGACTCACTGTCCTAACCTCACCTATAGTCAAGAAACCGATTGAATTGTTTGGCTTTGATGCAAATGTACAGCTTTCATTAACTGAGCTCCTGTCTGGTTTCCGATGTCTCAAGATATTTCAGAAGCCTGGTTGGAGGTGCTGCTACAGGTCATCACCTGCCTACCCAAGGACATCCTCAAGAGAGATGTAAGTTGACTTCCTGACGCACTCTGCAGTGACACCTGCAGGGGTGACGTTCTCGGTGAAAGAGGTTATTCAGATACTTGGGACGGGTTCCCATGAAATCCATCCCCCCTACAGAGTTACTGGTAGGCTCTTTTCTAATCACGAGTGTTCTTTGTGGCTATGAATTTTTTTGGGTTGTTTTGTCATTGCATTGTTGCATTATCTGGCGATTGTTAACGACGAAAAGATACTGGAATGCATGCGAATGATTTGATGGGTTAAAACTCAGTGGAAACCCATTGGCAGCATTTTACCCAGTTGTCATATATGCCCCATCCGAACATAGCTGGTGTCTGGATTCCAAGGTTTAGGTATCATTTCTTCCCAAATTGTCAAATGCAACCACAGGATTTGTTGGGTGTTGCTGGTTTAACGGCAAGAGCCTTGGGTCTTATCCATACACAAGGCTCGACTTCCCAATGTAGCTAAAGAATGCACCCGTGGTTTGCCACATGAACCTTAAATCATCCTGTGCCCGGCAAAAGGTCATGCCTGGAAGCATGATCACAGTAGAATAAAAGTTCCTGGTAAAACGGCGCAAGTAATATACACTATCTTTATTTAGTAAAAAAAGGATAAAATTTACTACAAAATCAACACAGGTTGTACAAAAAGCAACCTTTGAACTACTTATCAAACGACTTGGGAAATTGTTTTGGAACTATTTGCAAAGAAATCTTTATATTTCATTAAAATAAAACAGTTAAATACATATGTCCTTTTGCCGAGAAAATTTTTTTTTGCTGTGATAACGCTTCCCAGCAAAAGGTCGTAAGCGCTTACGACCTTTAGGAATCTTCAAGAATCATGCAAAGTCCAATTTCTTCTTTACACAAACCCCTGTCACTTTTTTGGGGGGGAGGGGGGAATTGGGACAGGGATCATGGGAGAGAAAGAGAACAAAGAGAACATCAGGCCCAGTGCAAATGAACAGTGACTGGATCATGCTGTTCTGAATCTGTCACAACATACTATGAAACCAGCAGGTGGTTATTGGCATATCTAGGGTTGTTTATTCTTATGAGATTCAAAATACATATATTGGAATGGTAAGCACAGCCCAGAATGGAGACTTGATACATTCATGTAGTTTCCACGGTCACTTTCTTTACGTGTAGTTTTCATTACTGTTCAAGAAGTTCCTTAATTTGCCAAAAGCTTGCCAACTGTTCCTTGCCTTAACTACTGGTACTTGATTTGACTGCGCCAGTCATTTACCATGTTGACACAGGTGGAACAAGTCAAAACACAGACATGAAACACATGTAACCTGCCACCCAAGACTAGGCTGAAGTGCATTGTCAATGTGACTTTTGAAATTTTTGCACTGCTAACAAGCTCACGTTGGACAGCACTTCAAACTGATCCTTAAATGCATGTGCATTGTACAGTGCCATGCCTTGCATAAACAGCTTTTCTACTGTAGTCAAAATAAAGCCATTTGTAATAGCCTGCAGCCTTGAGGCTTTTCAGGCATCCATATTTTGGAGTGGCCTGGGTTACATATAACTCCCTGGTGGACCATATATGCTCCTACTGATTAGGATTTTTTTCACCGCAGAGTAAATGCATAGCAGCGTACAGCAGTATTTTTTCCCCTTTACAACTTCCTTGCACAAAACAACATACCTTGACTTTATTCTAGCTGTTCTCCAGACGGGCACAGCATGAGGTCCCAACATACCCGTGAACATGTTTCAGATCATTATTGGGCACATAGAAATTTGACACCGCCTGAGTTCTGATGTGAGATCTATAAAAAAATCAGGGGTTCAGAATAGATATTAACTGCTCCACCGCCAAAAGGTCGTGCAGTAATGGCTGTGTGGGGTATATTGTCAAATTTTTGCTCTAAAGGGATTGGCAAAGTGTTGACATTGGTGGCTAGGCCCACTTATGGGAACTTTGCCCTTGACACTGTTTGCGTCGTGACTGTCCCGTTTTTTTTTTTAAAGAGCTGATGATGCGTGCACACTATGAGACTATTCTATGAAATTAGTGTAACGACGGGAACAACTGCATCTGGTGTGCAATATATGTTGTACGTGAATGCTCATGCATCATGCTGTTTCAAGCTATGGCCCATTTAGGCCTTCTATCCCAAAAGTCATCTCTCTGCTAGAAAACACCCCCCATAGGCTTACTATGACGCAAGTGTGACTCCCCTGTTTAAAATTCACAGCAAGATGTTTTAAGACACACAGTGTCCTAGATTACATGTACATCCTGCTGTTGTCTAAGAATTCCAGGTAAGGTGGCCATGGTCAGAGAAAAACATAAGAGAAATCCTGTCCTGAAAAAGTTGGGGAATTTTCCCTGCAGGACTGCACAATGGGTGCCGTCCCTCCACGTACACGTTGTCAAAAATTCCTGGAAAACAAAAGTTTGTCTTGGAAAAGGCAGGGATTTGTTACAGGGGAAAGGTCAGGGATGTTTGGAAGCCCGTCTTGTGACTTTTAAATTGGCCATTGGATTTGACTGATATAGGAGACTTTATGAAGAAAATCATCTTTAGGTACATGTGTTTGAAATTCAAAAAGCCAGTTGTGCTTTTTGTTTGTGGCTTCTAATAACAACCTTGAGCACTGAAGAAAAAGAACATGTACACTCACTCTGAAGCTGTCATAAACCTTTGTACCAAAATTGAAATTGGATGCCACGTGTACTGTGCACATGCATGTATTGTACATATGTGCATGTATACAGCGTGTTTCCATGTTCATGTCATTCTCTCAGGGATTATCATGGTTCATGCAGCGTAAGTTTAACAAGCACTCAGTTAACCATCATCACCATCAGCTGACACCTTTAATGTGTTGTTGGGACTGGCCGACTCTGGGCTCCCAGCTGGTAATAAAACGATACAGCGCATTCACTTGAAATGAATCATGTAACCAACATTTAGTCATGTGATACGCTCTGTCATATTGTGGAGGAGTAAATGTGGGCCGTTGTTGGAATATATATGGCCCTGTTGACAGACTCCGTGCATGTCAATAGCCGGGCGGTACACACGTGCATGTCCGTCTCATGTACGAGTTCTCATTAAGTTGTCAGTCACGACGACATATTATTTAGGGCAGCTGACTTTTAATTAATTTAGCCATCTGGGATCCTGTTTTACTGGTTTCGGATTATTTTTACTTGAAACAGATGTTGGCAAGGGCGATTAAATTAGCCCAGTCTTGTCCCGGGGCAGGGTATTTTGAAGTTTCTGAAGTGTGTTTTTTCTGTCCCCCATGGAAATTGAAAGTCAGAGATAATACATACTGGACAATGACGATATAACACCTTGTTAAGGTTTGGACAATCATTAACTGGCATTTTGCACTATCCAGGGCATCAACCAATTAACCGATTACAAAATCACCTTACCACACCTTGTTTTCCTCTTCCTCATAAAAACGGGGTCATTATTGTCGATGAGCAATGTCCAAACTCTGCCACCAGTTTGTGAATCAATCGGGCATCTGACATGACAACCGATAACCTTGTTATTCTGCGTTTGTGTTGACAGGTGTTGACGGTCGCCATGGCCAAGGGTCAGCTTTCCCAGTCGGTGCAGTCCCGATTGGCCAGTTGTCACATCCTGGGGAAAATAGCCACTCGCTGTGATTCCTTCATGTGAGTACATGGCTGAAGTCTCAGGATTTCCCCCTAAAGTGGAGGATTTTTAGAGGTTTTGTCATTCAGGTTTGGCTTGTTTTTGCACAGATGTACAAAAAAAGTCAGGTAAAAGATGATCACAATCATATCTTACCAGCCAATGAAAGCCATGGAGAGCCACAGCTTTTAATTTTCTATTTGTAAAATCCCTCCGCTGCCACCTCTGGAGAACCATGGGTAACCTTTGGAGAGAAGCAGAGAAAAGTAGACCTATAAGAAAATGACTCAACCCTGTGGGTGCGTAGAGGTTGGTTCCCAATGAGCCCCCAAGGCATATGTGAATAAGCATCTGTGATGTCACATGGTTACTCAGTGAATTTACAAATGTCAAGCACATTTCAGGCGTGTTGAAATTTGCAGCAAGTGCTTTGTGACTTGAAATTTGTCCTTCCTCAATGCCTTGTTCCTTTTTTTTGGAGCGTACATGTACAAATCAAAATGGAGCAATTTTCCAAGATAGTATTCCCCCCCCCCGCAAACTGTGAAGTCAAATCCTGGTTTAGCAACAGTTGGTTGTTTACCCAAAGCATACCTTCGTGTTTGATAAAGTACGGTATAGTTTCCCAACACAAGTGTTAATGTGTCCTCTGAACAACCAGTGTACAAGTATTGTTTGGTTTCACAAGGTCAAGAGCAGATCGATAAGCACTGGTGGAGATACCATTTTTGAAGTCTTCTTTTTATTTGGAGAGACGTATTTCATACATATGCATTCCTTTTGAAGGTGATATTCATGAACATTTTGTGTGTATTAAAGCCATCCTTACACCTGGTATATGTCATTTCTGTTGAGTGTTTGTAAGATTCTTCTGCTCGAAAAATCTCTGTTGCAAAAATGCATCTACATGTACTTGTAACAAAGCACTCGTGTAGCCATGATTATTACCTGTAGCAAGAATACTTAACGTTTACAGATGAATAATTTTCCGTTATCGATAACACCCCCCCAGTCAGGAAATAGTTTGTTTAGGACAAGCATGGGTAGTTGTGAAAAGCATTTGCCCTAAAGCTAGGTTTCTTACAACCCTGTAATATGTCACGGTGTGGTTTTCTGGTGTTTGTATTTGTGGTCCCATTGATGGGACACTGTACATACAAAGTTATAAAGTGTCTGGTTGGAATCCCTCTTCCAGAGTGCAGTGAACTCTTAGGGTTACCCCATCATCATGTAATGTTGTGTGTATCACGTGCGCAATGCTTACCTGGAGCTCGCAGGCATAATTCACAAGGACTTGAACCTGAGACACCCTGCTTATGCACCCACCAACTGTTCCCCACCCCTTCCCAGGACTACACCAGGTCTTATGCCAGAGTTTGCTCATGTTTTTCAAGCCCTTGGGGGAGGGGCTCACTTTTAACATTTTATCTTTGGCATATACCGGTATATGTATAATGCATGGAAGGGCCGCCCCAGAGATGGAGATTTGCATTTCATAAAGTAACAATCCTCATGTCTTCAGTGATGCAACCTGTGGGGGAAGGGGGGAGAGAAGGGGTGGACCAACTGAGCCATAACCCCATGGAAGCAATGATACCAGGTGTCTTACCCAAGTCCTTGCAGTGAACCTGTGGAATATCTCTCCACCGAATTAATTTCCTCAGTACGCTTACTCTGTTGGATTTTGCAGGAACCTCTGGGCCAAAATTAATTTTGTCAAGTGAAAAAAATTTAGTTGAGCACGGAATACGATTAGGGTCTTCGCAGAACACAGTTCAAATGATCCCTGTACCAGGGGCCTGCAACGTGTATCACAATCTAAATGCAGACAGTATATTCTGGAAACATACATGTACAGTGTAATCCTGTATTTCTTCCAGCACTCTGTACATAGAGAGTTTGTTGACATTTATCACTTTCAGCCAGGCAGTGATGACTGTTGTACTGTGCATGTATACCCAGCTCATCGCAGTTTACAGAATGTGTATCCCAGTGTAAACTGCACAGTCTATTAATATTGCATGAGGCCAAACAAGAAAATAGCTGTGTTTCCGGTTACCCGACCCAACCTAGAAACTCACACAGAACCTACATGTATATCTTTTTATTCGACAAATCAATAAAATAGAAAAACTTCTGGTGCCTTGCCCCAAGCCTCATTTTGTGTACATCGTCCTGTACATTGTATTGTTTGAATTTTTTGTTTACATGAGATGGACGGCTCTTGTGTGTTTGTATTTCAACAACCAGCTCTGCTTCACTACTCAATTACAGTGCTGATATATAATACTGATGTGCACATGCACAGTATGAATCTGACACTGACTGTGTACCTGTTACAAATATATGCCAGCAAAAATACAGACCATCATCCGACCCTAGTTTTGGGGCTATAAAAATATAAAACTACCCTAATTTATTTTTCAGTGTAACAGGAAACACAACTCATTTTTTGTTTAGTCTGAGTGATGATGATGAATGGTTTCAGATCTGGTAGGCCTAGATCTTGTGTTTATTATGTCGCAGTCATGGTTTACTTACGGTCATTAATTTGTACTCGCTTCTACATGTACATGTAGAATCCACACCGTGAGCCAGTCATTTTTCAAGTTCACGTGAAACAAATCATCCATCTCGCGTACTTGAGCTCACCGGAAGAGGCATGATGTTAAAGCTGACTATCTTGACAGTGTGTATTTTTGTACATGATGTGCTGGTTTATGTTCATACAATGTACATGTACTTGGTTGTTATGTTTTCTTTGTTACGCAATCAATCAAATTAGGTCACATTCCTCTAGTTTTACGCTTGTAATTAAGGCTGAACACTTTGCTTTCTCTTAACTCTGCCATCTTTGCAGGGGAAAAAGCTTTTAAAGAGACCTTGACATATTATAATTTGAATCTTATTACGGACACTGTCTTTGATAAATGAAATTGTGAAACATGTATTAAGCATGCAACATTCCACATACATGTAGACCTTAAAATTCACGCAGTATTCATTTTTGATTTCTGAGAATTTCCTTTGTGGGAATTCACCTCTGTCTTCTTAAAATAGGCCATTATTATTATTTGTTTCTTTGATATACATTTCCCACAGGATCAAGAGAGACATACTGCCTCTGGTTACCTCCTTGTGTCAGAACGTGGACTATGAGGTGCGGGCCTGTATGTGCCGGCAGCTAGATTCCGTAGCCAGAGGCTTGGGGTGAGTGGTAGCTGTCGTGCTTTAAAAAGATATTGATCCCCAACTGGATAACGCAGACGGCAACTGCATTATTGGTCCCCCTACACCCTTCTTTAACATTGAGTGCTTTTCTCTCCACCCTTCTCCCATTTTGATCCCTCAATATGTAGATGCATGTACGTTGGAGATACAGGCTCCTCTGCTCTTACGCCGCCACTTTGTGAACTGAATTTTTGTCTAGTAATGAGCAAACAGATGTTTACAAATTTACAAAAGCATGTGTAACACACAGATTTTTTGAAAATTTTGAAATCTTCAACAATTTTGCCTTGTACTTGCATAAATCTCAATCTTTTGAATTGTAGTCTGGAACCTACCAAAAGTGCAATACTTCCTGAGCTGGTTGAACTGAGTAACGACGAGGAAAGTTGTGTACGGCTTGCAGCACTGGAGACTATAGTTAGCTTACTGAGTTTGCTAGACGATGGTAAGTCCATCTTCTCAGCATTATTTGCAAATAATCCAAGTTTTATTCAAAGCGCTGTTGTGTACAAGTCACCTGGTTGTAATTGTCCAGTGAAACAAAACACTGAGACCCTACTTTAGTATTTTAGTGTTCTTTGTGAAAATTTAAAATACCAGTTTCATTGTTTAAACTAGTTGCTATCTTTTTAGTTTGTATGGTGATCTTGTTTAAACACCTTAAATTCTCTGAATTTCAAAGTTTACAAAAGTTTTTCTTATTTTGGTGCTAGCTTCATGCAGGAATTTCAACTTCTGTATTCATTGTGAACTTACAAACAGATGTGGAAATGCCAATGTTTACAAATGGAATGCAATGAAAAATGTGGAATGAAAACATGAGTTTGGAGGAGCGTATATGGTTTCTTCAGCTTTATCAAACACTGGGCTGAGGGAGGATTTAGCATAGAGTTAATGTCAGCTACGGTACATCAGAGGTTAGGTAAAATAAAAACCGCCACCCATGTTGGTTGCCTCTGATTGTTAAGCCTGAGAACCTGACCAATGACATCATGCCACACTGGTCGGCCCCCTTGGCTTGAACTGGTACTTGTACACGTAGGACGGAAACTCCCTCTCAACTTGCTGAAAAGGATTGAAGAATTCCCTATGCATATATGCACATGTACATGTACATGCTACCACCAACACCAACGCCAATTCATCAGTAATCCATCGTGCCAGTCACATAATCCAGGATTTGGATTGTGGTCGGTAGTTCACATCAAGTGTACTGAAGGTGATTATGGAGTTAAGCCTAGTCACAGTGCTGTATTGGAAATTAGGTTATGTTGTTTGTTTTCCTATTACCTGCTTTTTAACTACATGTATAAAATTATGGGAGATTTCCAAAGCCATTGATCCGTGGTCTTTGTGTATATACATGCTCATCAGCCATAGAGCGTAGAGTTAATGAGCTGTGACTTATATGCTGTGACATCTGAAAAATGCATCAGTCAGCGGTGGTCTCTTTGTTCTCGTTTGCGTGGGCCGTTGCGGAGCAACCGGGCATCTCTGTTGCCCTAGAAACCTAATCTGCGTGTATCTGATGGTGACCATATAATATTTTTTTACAACTTTCCTCCGTGTATGCAGTAAATAAATTCAAAAAGAAAGTCTGCTCATATTTCAATTTGTAGAAAAGTCATGTGACGTGTTCCGTATTAAAAAGACATTACATAATTTGATACAGAATGATGTGTGGTTCCATTACTCATTTCCATTCACAATAATAATGGTTTTGGGTATAATTTTGGTTTATATCTGTTTACACAGAGTAATTACTAAGTCGTTTTTCTTTGACTGACGTTATTTTTGGGCTGCCATTGAGCTTCTTGCTCATATGAACACAAATTTACTCTTCAGCACTGATTGCCATTTGAACAGTGAAAGTAAGCAAGAGCATATACTATTGGTCAGACTAGAAGTATACTCTTGCATCACTTGGTCTCTTCAAAATGGCAGAAAGGTCACTGTTGATCTTTTGGCCGAGAGATTCACGAGATTAGATCCAAGAGTAAGACAAAGGCAACATTTGCCTACCCTCTCCCCCGCGAGTATCTTGAGCAGCACGAATGAGTGCAGCCAACGAATAATTGAGAATTCAACTCGGCGGCATTTTCCATCCCAACGAGCCATGCATGCTGACAAATGCAATGTGTCATATGGTGTTGAATCTTTAATTACATGTGTACATTCATGTATGCTGTGGGCCTACCTGTACGGTGAACAGTACTGTTGTTGAAATGTCGGTAAAGTTTTCATTTCAAGGGCATGGCAAAACGATTGATACTTCTTTTCTCATCTTCATTCATGCATCCTGGCCAGGTCTGAGCCCCACTAGAGGTAGAATTTGTCTGTAGATGTGCATGTAAACAATCTCATGTTATTTGCTTGAAATGGGAATTTCCTCTCGGGCGTCTTGTAAATAATGTCCATTCGCGTGCATGTAATCCTGGTTGCCCACAGTGTAAGGGTCACCTGCTGGTGTCAGTTGTCACTGATCTTTACGGGACTCCTCCCAAAAAAGATAAAAATGACACAGCTTTCACAATGGAAATAAATTAGAGACTTTGTTTTCATGAATATGCATCTGTCAGGATGTCAAAATGAGTCAAAAGAGCTGATAGTGCCATTTCTACTGCCTATGGAAAAGTATTATACAAGTACATGTATGTGTGTTAACACCTCAAGACTTGTCTTCTTGGAGCCAGTCTCACATTTACATGTACATGTATGTACATGAACATGTATGAAAAGTACAGTGTATGCGGAAGACTTTTTCTACTGGAAAAATGAAAGGTGTTGTAAAAAAAAATCAATATGCAGCATTATTTTTTTCTGCAAGTGCCAGATCAGTTGTCCAATATGTCCAGTGTTTAAAATGTGAAAGCCCCAAAGTAAACTTGTGAAGCTGTGATTAAATGCAATTTATGATTTGACGTGAGGTGTAGATTTTTGACAACTTATACCAGGTAAGTTTCTTGCATATATCAGTCCGAAGTCTTCACATCTTCATCATTTCTTCTCTTGAATAGAAATACTATTTAGAATATTGTGTTCCTGCATGCTGCACCAATCAATGTAATTCATTAAAAGTGTTCATGGCGGTTGCTCAAAAGGCTCATTTTGGTCAAATGAAGTTAAAAATCAGAACTTGTTTTACGATGTTTCAAATTGGTACACTTCTCCTCACATCTTAGTGTTTTCTACTGTGTGGTGCTGAGGAATGTTACCCATACATGCAGTTTTCCAAATTTTAGTGTATAGTTGTACATTGGTTTCACAATCTTTCTTAAAGCATCTATCTTTAGATCTTTCCAGAACTTTAACATTTTGAAAAGTAGACAGAGTGCCACGAACAGATAAAGGAAAAATCCAGTGCAGTTGTAGACAAAAATTCAAGTTTCTCTGTTGTTTGTGTTTGGTTTTGCTGCTGAAATTGTTGTTTTTACACGTATGTGGTGCTATTTGCAAAATGAATTTTTTTTTCTGTGAACAGAAGAGTTTGTGAACGCAGGTCGTGTGGAATCGACTACATGCACCTGGCTGTTAATGTTTGTTCAAGTTGTCTGTGCATATCATTTATACTGGCCGGTGCATGTACATGTACATTAGGTGGTGCATTAGACTCTGGTGTAGTGTACTTCAGGGAATATGCATGCGGTGAACATTAAGCCAAACTGATTGTTTGCATAGAATGTTGGAGCATTACACTAACGTGCTGCTCAGACTGTGTATATGTATGTACATTTTTGGTTGCCTTGGTTTGTACCTTGAAGTGAATAATATTGATAGTCTTATTTTGTTTTTGCCATTTTTTGGCTACCTACAAGCGTATTATTAATGTGATTTTGTGCATTAATCAGAGCGAAGGCCATTTGAAATGGCCCATTGAAGGTAGTAAAACTGATCTAGCATTTATCTGACATAATAGTATGTGATCATTACTTTAATGAAATCTGGTTGCTATGACAACCAGACGTGAGTAATATCCTAATCTCTTGGTAAACACGTTCGCCCTCACAATAGTTCATTCTCCGCCAGGTTTTTATTTTTTCTTTCTTGTGCAGTCCACTCAAAACGAAACCAGACTTCAACAACTGAGAGAGTTTGAGCGGAAATGAATTAAAAGATCGGTCTTGAGTTAAGTTAGCTGGCTGGGTCAAATGTAAAATGTTGAGGCAGATTATTTTCAAATTCCTTCTACAAAATGAGTTTTGTTATCAGGGAAACGATTATGAATGCTGTGCCAACACTTTAAAGTTGTTTTCAAATGTTGTTCTGCACATTGTGTAAGCATTTAAAGAAGTCTGTAGAAAAAAAAGAGAGTTGCTTCCAAGACTGTCCCATCAATACCAATGGTTTTTATCGAAGAAAGCTGAGATTGTGCATTGAATATCTGTGGGAAGATTTTAAATGGTCTCATTAAACCGATATAAAATACAAAAGTGCTTAAGTTCCTGCATGAGATTTTCATCTGTGATGTCCGTATCGCAAAAGTAAACCTTACAAATTTGTATCCTTTTCTCCCGCTTGAGTTTACAGAATAATGTTTCACAGATGCATGCATGCACATGCAGTGCCGAAATGAACAATTTCGTGATTTTGGTTTGGATCTACCAACAATTTTCCAGTTCATTTTGGTTCAGTTTTTCTTTTGTTCCTTTTTCTTCCCCCAGAGACGTGTACACAAACAATTATTCCACTGGTGTGCAAGTTTTGTGAGACTGCCATGCGATGTGAAGACTCTACCTTGCCTTCCGTAGCCAGACAGTTTGGTCGACTCTGTCATGGATTATCAGGTTATTGTTTGGACAGTAGATATCCCCCTCTGTCGTATTTTGATGACAGCATTGTTGATGGACTGAATAAGCTTCAAAACAATGAATTCATGTTTATCAGTACATGAGTAAGAATGATTTCATGAGGTGGCAGATGGAATATTCCATTTCATGGAGTTTTTATACCAAGCCTGACATATCACGAAGAAATCTTATCCTTGATAAATGCCTGTGTTGTACTTGAGTTCAGAAATGTTGTGTGATCATAGAGTGTTCCATTTATTCTGCTCCATGGATTAGAACATTCCATTTTTGCAGTGCAGCATAACGTGGGAGGGGGGGAATCATTCATTGTGTGATGGACAGCCCACCAGTCAGATGAGTAGGATATACATATAGTCGGCTATTGGATAATTCATGCTTTGAACGTTCGTGAATTCAAAGCAGTGCTGTAACAGTTGCCTCTGTTGTTAAATCCAGGGCCCAATTTCAATTTGTTAACTGAAAATTTATGCACTTGGCAATAATAAGCTTGGAGCCAGCCGCAAGAAAAACACAAGTGCATGACCCCTTGGCTGGTAACCTGCTTTGGCTACGCAGGTTTTTTGCATATAACAAATTTCTGTGTTCAGCAGCTGTGTGAAATCACCCCCAACCTTCTACCGTATACATGCATTGTGTCCAGGGCTAGTCCGTTCCATCACAGGTCCCACTAATTCTGTCACAGGCTATCCAGTCTTTAGCCAAGTCAGGATCTGTTCAAGAGGAACGATGACAAAGGCATTCCTGTACCATTGATATTGGACTCGTGAAAGGTCTTGTGACTGGACTTTTAATGGACACTTTACAGCCCTGGTTGTGACTGGCCAGTACCATAAAGCAGAGTAAATTAATTACTGCATCTTGTCAAGAGGCACCTGATACCCACTGCATCTATTGTTTTTGATTAATTGCTGTGGACCCTGGACTCACCATAGGGGACCTAGCTATCTTAATAGGTGTCAGCAGCAACACCTACATCACACACATGCCTAACTCTCTAGTGAAGGAAGCAGATGGTTTTTTGTAGTGTAGATGTGAAGATGGCTGGATTACAATGTACTGCTGTACATCTGCATTTCTTATTGAATTAATTGTGACCAGAATGTGTATATTTAGAAAATGCACTTAGCCAACGATCCTAGAGCCCAAGGCACTATATTATCATCATTATCCTAGCACTCAGGGGGCCCATAAAACATTCCTACATCTATTCCAGCTCCCTTGGGATTATAAAGCTAAGTGCTGCTATTTCAGGCCTGAATGGCTGATCAAACAATCTCTGCATTCAGAGGTAGTCATTGGTGCTCCTGGTGCAAGGTCAACACCGCAGCTGGATTCAAACACCCTGTCCTCTGATTGAGAGCTGCTTCAGGTGCAGACTCTGATCACTGGGCCACACCTGTAAAGGAAAGAACCCCGTTCAGAAATAAAGAAATTGCCGTCAGGAATTTCTTCTTTTTGGTTTCTGGTACGGCAACTAATCAGAGGTAATGCAATTTCTGCGACTGCTCCAAATTCACATGCAAACCTTGCCAGGTCACAATAGTCCGTTGGCCGTAAAGGTGTACAGCGTGCTTACCACCTATGTGTGAGGGTGGTGCCTCCACAGTAGATGGCTCCTGAATCTGGATTCTTGCAGTTGGTGCTTGCACGGTCTTACTAAAAGCCTCCATGTTAACTTTTGTTATGCTTCCATCCAGTCAGTACAGGAATTTATTTCAATTATACATGTTTATTATCTTCTGAGATGTCAACTTTGTTTCATGGAGACTGCAGAGCAGGACGTTTTTTACCAAATGGAATGATTAATTTTCTGTTTCATTAAGTCAACAATTATCAGTTACAAATGGTTTCAATTTTATTTCGAATGGAGGTTGAGGTTCATTTTCTTTCATGTGCGTTCAGTCAGTAGTTTACTATGGCCCTGTACCCAGTCATAGTTTGATGTTGACCAGATAATGAATTGAAATATATCTCTCTCTTTTTTTGATAGTCAATCTTACAGAAGATCAGAAAATCTGGTTCCTGAACTTCTACTGCAAGTTGTGTGTCATTGGTCTGGTGCCAGACAAAACAAGGGTCAACGATAGGCAGGTCAGTGACATAGGTATCTACAGTCAGTGCTTTTCTGTCAAACATGATTAACCCCTGGTGTGACAACTGCTCAGTGTTCCACCGCTGAGCATTTGAAGCATGTACATTCATTCTCCTTGGTCACATCATTTGGTAAATGATGTCAAACTGGATGCATTCTGCCGTGTACTGGATTCGCAGCAATACAACAACAAAAGTCAGTGAAAACTAATGCTTCATCAACTGGTTGAATATTTCCATTTGGCTGTGAGAAGAAACGTGAAAATGAACACATTTCAATGAGAAGATAATCGCATTTGTTTCACAGTCCCTAAAATCAAGGTTTCTTTTATCATCAAACAATTGTTTGCAATCCTGAAAATTGCTTTTGCACGTTTTTCTCCCTTTTTGTATGTTGATAGTGCTTGGCTGGGGAAACATTTAAGAAAAAAGTTTTTATATTTGGAACCTACTAACCAATTTGACAGTACGTGTAGAAACAAAATGATCTTCAGTGCAAAAAGTGTACAGCTGAAATTATGTACATTAACTCTCCGTTTTGGAGCTTCGGGTAATGGAAGTGAAGACAGGCTTTATGTGGTAGCCATTTTGCAGGGCAGTCCTTTTGTTCTACAGGAAAACCTCCTTTGTGGATACCGAGTGGAACAATAGCACTGGCCTGTAAGATGGCAGCCATGCAAACCCTCTATTGTATGAAGTTTTCAAAGCAACAGGAAAATATGCATTTCTGTTCCGAGAAAACTGTTTGGTTAGCCACTTGTGATTTGAATTAGTGTGTTGTGATTTCATCAATATTGTATCCAATTACACCATTCATTCATATGAGCCTCTTTTATGTCACATGCTGCAACAATAAAAGGATGTGTCTAGAGCACCCAAGCAGAAGGTGAATACAGAGTGCCTCTTAAGTGGGTTCCAACAAACAAAATGTTGGGAGCACAGCTTTACTTCTTGGTTGCTGTTCAGTACAAAGTGCAGTGGAATAGACTTTACAAGGAAGCCCATTTTTGGTCTCGTCACACAAATCTGTTCTTACCTGTGAACATGAATTGTGATAATTGTGCCTTTCACCCAGTTGAATAAACCTTCTCAGTTTTAGCGTGGGATCTGTCCCCTGTTTGTTTTGAAGTGTGTGATACCGTTATAAGTATCAATACTATTTCACTTTACTTGCATGGTAAGGCTTAACCCTGAATTTCCTTGAATGCACTGAGTTTGAAATGTTTATATGAATACACAAATGCACAGCATGCATAAACCAGGAAAATGTACACAACCTTTGTATTTTATAACTTTATTGTTCGCCGTGCTAATGGTGCAGTCTATAACACTCGTTTCTGAACAGGTGTGTACGGTGAGTTTCTACTTCTTTCCTGTGATAAACCTTGGGGAACAGTGCCTGTCCCGTTCACTCTTTTGTTTGTCAAATGACCTTGAGAAATTATGCCATGCACGAGTGAATGGACTTCTCGAAGTAATTTTATAGTTTATCGTTGTCTGTGTCGTTGATGGCAAATTTTTTCTGGGAAATGCTTGAAGTCAAGTTGTTCTTTCTCACACAAACCAATCCATTTATTTGTCACAATCATGCACGATCTCATTCTGGAAGAAAGCCACATGTTCATTGCTGTGTTTATTTTCCCTTTACTAACAGTGCCACGTTGGAATATTTCAACTTTTATCCATGGATGTAAACTTTAATGACTCTAAAATACTGATGTGCTGTATGCTGTGTCTCATAACATCCGATGCTTAGTGCGTTTGCTGTGCACATGTTGACTTTGAACCCTCGGAAAGAGTCTGTTTGTGTACATACGAGCAACGTGTCACCGAGACATGGTGGAAAGATTGACAGAAATGGGGGATAACAAATAACCCCTTTTTGTCTTGTCAATCTTGGCCTGGCCCCATTAAACCCGTCACATCAAATGTTGAACTTTGTTTGCAGTCAGTGGGCCCCAAGTTTGGCTGTTTATTTTGTTGTAGACATTGCCGGGAGCTCTGATAATGTTATCGAGGGGGGGCAGAAGGTTTTAAGTACATGTACTTGCCGGTTTTTGGTTTGGTTCAATTCGGTGGTTTCAGTTTGAGAAAACATGGCCTCAAAAAGTTGTGCTTCAGCTCTGTAAGATGATGATTTTTTTATGCAATCTAGTCTCAGATTGTGTGTATTAATAATTTACTTGCAAAACCGAAGAGGCTTAATTCAAACGTGAGCTTCCTGATATATTTAGTGGAAAGAAGGCTTCCAAAAAATATCACTCCTGAAGTGACATGGACAAACATCTCCAAGTACTGTTGTAGCTTGAAAGAAAACAGTCATGTTAGCATTTAGTGAACTGTGATTGAATACAGGTTCAGCTTTCTGTCAGTTGCGTTTTTTGCACTGGACTTCAATCTGCATTGAGGTGGTCAAAACAAAATAACCGGCCAAAGCTTATCAAACGGTGTTTTGTAACAAACAGATTCTGCAAGTTTGAAGAATCTGATGTTTTCCTCCCTACAATACCCATGTGCAGATGAAACATATCAAGGTTCTGGATTGAATCAGAGTAGCAATTAATAAAACAATTGCTTGAGTTGAGTTACAAGCTAGCTTTTCCTGTTCTTTATGTTGAAGAGCCCACCAATCCTAAATCTGTACAGAGAAGAAGACAGGCATATGGAATGTCGACGACACTGTGCTTTCAATTTTCCGGTAAGTCTCAGTGAGCCAAAATGAAATCCTTAATGTCCCTAATCAATACTCTATAGACAAATTTGAACCTTTTCTCCTCAGCAATTTGTACTGATAGAAACTTTTGGTTGCAGATATGCATTGAAAGTACACAAAGGGTTGGTGGATTCAGGACTAGTCTTTAGACCACAGCCACAGTGAAGCTCTGTCCAAAACAGGCCTCTAGACTGTGGCTCTGTCTGTTGTTTGCATGTTCCTACATATTTTTCAATCAACAAATACCCAGCCCTGGTCATGTCATATCTACACATCCTTACTTTGCAAGAGACTTGACCCTAACCGCACCTGTTGCTACATGATCTTGTGTAATTGTCATATCATTGGGCACAGCCAACATGGTCTTCACATATTCAGGCAGCAGAAATGAAAGGGAAGTTGGAGGAGACTATTCATGTTGATGTAACCAGCCACATTAGTAAATTTACCCCACTTTTCAATTTTACAAAGCATGATAAATGGCAGTATTCAAGTCCTTTCACTAAGTCTTCTGTCCCATGTTGCAGTGCATGGTTCTATTTGCGGGGCCGCGTAATTTCAAGACGGAACTACACGGCACCTTTGCCAGCCTGTGCGACGATCCCAACAAGTGCGTCCGCATCACAATGGCCAGCGGCTTCCACGAGGTAACGTGAACCGGTGCCATGCTCTGCTGAACACACATGGCAGTGTTGTCCTGATGAAATAATGTATTACTGACTAAGCTCTGGTTTCACAGCTCATGTTACCTGCTCTCTGCGGAGCTAAATTAAATTTTGGAACATAACTGGATTGCACTGATGCTGTAGCCTGCCGTGTAATAAAGTACTGCGCATTGTGTCCAGCTTGTTTTACTGAGGTTAAAGGGAGAATGTCGCTTTGTAGGTTAGGGTTAGTGGCTGGTGATCATGGAGTTATGGGATCCTGTTGAGTTTTGTGCAAATAGTACTGGTAGATACCAGCAGCCTGTTTGTGCGTCGACGAATCACAAACCTTTATGGGACATTTATATTGCTCCAGGTTGCCAAGATGCTTGGTTCCAGCGTACTTACAATACAGGGAGAGCTGATCAGTCTACTTAAAGATGACTCTCTAGAGGTAGGAAAAGTGTGTGTTGAACTTTTAACACAGTGACTGCAAATCACTGCACGTGCCGAATGGGAAGATTTGTGGCTAAAAGTGGCAGGAATAGCAGGGGATAAACTGTTTTTTTTTTTAACTACCGGTACCCTCCACCATGGCATATCTGGATGTTATTTTCTTCTGAGACCCTTACCCTAAATTGTCCCACAAGTGGAATTGTTGCAAATTCAAACAGGGATGTTGTAGCCAGATTTCAGACTTTTCACTTGCAATGCTGGGCCAATTTCAGGCCATAACAATGTATATTTAGGCTTCTTTGGCCTTCATTTTAGGCCCTGACAAGGTAAATTTAGGCTTCTGTGGCCTTCATTTCAGGCTTTGGACAAGAATCTCCCTGGCATCCCTGTTCAAAATATCGCAGTTTGTTCACTTGAAATCACCAACCAGTTGCAGAGGTTCCATTAAAAAGTTATGTTGACTCACTGAGTTTCATTTCAAAGTGTGCAGTCAAACCCTATACCGATGTTCAAAAATACAGGAAGGTAATTGTTAAAATGCCAGTTACAATAATGTACATGTAGGTGCAGTGAAATTTTTCCACTCTTTTTTTTTTACGTAAGAGAAGAAATACTGGTAGTCACATTTAATTTGAGTTTGAAGCAGTAAGTCTCCATGCCACTCACATTGCACTGACATGAATTCCCCACTCTTCTCTCTTGGCCATCAAGGTTATTCAGGGCGTTGTGTCCCACCTACCAGACGCGTTAGATGCATTTGCTAAAGGCGGGGGCAACGTGATCACTGAATCCAAGGTGAGTTCAGCCATTGAAAATATTGATTTGTCAAGTTCCTGGGGTCTGTTGTTATGAATTACCTCTTTACCACGAAATAAGCAGTACTTCATTGCTGATACAGAGAGTTTGGTCTATGACTGATTTTTTTTAAGCAAATTTAACAGATTAGCCTCAACCTGGAATTCTGCTTCTGCCATAGCTGTGGCCTTTGTTGTCATGGTTTTTGCCACATCACCTCCTAGATATATTCCACTGGACATTGTGATCTCAGACTCAAGGGCTTCTTACGTTGGAAAGACGGCCTTACCTCTCAAAGAACAAAATCTTGAGCTTTGTAACAGGAGACCAAAATAAATCGCTGATGGCCTTGAATGGAGCCCTTGTGTGGGTCTGTAAAAAAGTACGACTTGCAAGTGTTGCAAGTTGCCATGGTAGCCATGAGAGGGACAAGGACAGTATGAAGTTACCGGTGTTGTAATGTACGTTGTGAGTGGTTAAGTAGAAGGCAGAGTGGGGTTGGTTCATGGAATGTTGGTCGAGAAGCAGCAGGTGTACTGTGAGATTATCCTACTCATAGGTGAACTGCCTGTAAAACCGATTTTGTAGTTGATAAATTTTAGACGAAAATCACTAGAGTTTGAGATAATTTCTCCCGTGTTTTCAGTTTGCTTTGCTGGAAAGAAGAAAAATTGTGCTTTGTATTTGATGTGTGTTTCACATCTACATCTACCCTCATTCGATTGGCAGGTTGTGAGATGGGAAATGTACAAGTTCTTATTCTCATCAGGAAAACTGCCTTATAGACAGTGATACACTGTCATCCAAAATGTGAACGGAAGAAAACCTTACACTTATCAAAACACATACTGAAAGAAAACCTAAGTTTTTAATGCTGAAGAGCATGTAAATATGATCTAGGAATCTACACAAATTATGCGGGCATGGCTTATGGGTGAAAAACGTCAAGCTCATCTCCACACTTCCGGCTCACTTCTAAACATGCTAGCTTTATCCACAATTTGTTTTGTATACACATGCCAAGTCCAAGAAGTCTGTGGAGACAGACTGTGTGTTGAACTTTAACTGGAATTTTGAAAAATCTGAGATTGCTCTAAGAAATATACAGAAACTGTGAAATTGATTCTTGTAAATTAGTGTTTGTGGAGTGTGGTGATACGTGTATATCAAACGTTGGCTGCTATATCTGGCCTGTTTGGAAAATTGAAATGTTGGCAACAAGCAGTACAGTTGGCAAGCGGCTACAAGTCTTTTACCACTAGTGCCAATTCTGGAGGGAGTACCAATGAAAATTGGCTGGCAAGTGAGCCGTTTTCTCAGCCCTAGCCACAAATTATTGTAAGGTTGTAAGATATTAGGATAGATCAAAGACATTCTTAGGTGCCCATCCCCATCCCAAGGGGAAGAAAAGTCAACAAGGAATGGGATTGAATGATGACCATCTCAGCAACCTGCCAGCAGCAGTTTGTCCCTGGAGTAACGTAGCACCGTGAGTTGGTCGTGGTGTAGATGAGAGGTCAGGGTTTAGGGCTTTCCACCAGAAACAGGCCTGGAAATTTTTTTTGTGGGAAGTAAATTACCTTGATACTGGCATCATTTTGGGGAGTTCATTGAAAGTTCAGGATTTGACACTGTGGGATAGGCCTTAGTCTGTGCAAACTTCCCAACTCCCAACAGTAAATCTGGGCGTTGAAACTTTTTGTGAAGCAGTGCTTCTTTGTGCGTTTCTAGGTAACTGGAGAAAAGAAGAAAGTGTGGCAACAAGGAGCCTTGAGTTTTCTTGTGCCGGGCAGCAGTGCTTTTCTGAGCAACTGGCTGTTTGTCCGTCTCCTTGTCTGACTTTGTACGTCTGGATCACGTTCACTTGTTATTGACTGTATGTGTCTTTGCGGCTCACATTTTCCATGTTAGTTCGGTTGTCCTTTACCCCGTCTCAATTTCCTCCTCTAATCTGTCATCAGACTTCACTGTATTTAACTGTGACTGTTCTCCTTACCACTCCGTTTTCACTCCCAGATTCTTGGGTTTGGTTTTGACAATCTATTTCTTTGCCGAAGGGTAAGCTGGCTATTTTAATCCCCTTCGTATTCCACCCTCCCCCCTCCACTTTTCATGGTTGTTTCCACCTGCGCATCCTCACAGCTGGACAGTATTACTAATAACACGCACGCCCTTGACTTAAGAATGAACAGACATTACTGTAGTTAGGTGTGACAGTTGAGCAAGCATGCTGTGCAAGGCTTAACCACTACCTGCCGGGGAGCCCGGTTTTGGGCACCATGTGTTTATACGCAGAGCTGGGGTGCCCGGTTTCCGACAAAAGAGCTGGTCTATGTAACAAAAGACTGTACTCGGAACAAAGGACCTGCTGCTAGGAATTGCCATCATTTTTTGACTTCCATTTTTCAAAGGTAGTCTTGCAATGTTTTGAAACAGTATTTCATTGTTTTGGGCATAACAGGCCACAGATTAGCACCGCGGATAAAAGTGCTCCAGGGCCCCATTGATGAGCGACACAGTGCTGCTGCTCACTAATCCAGCTGCGTATGAAAAGATGCTACTGGCATTCACCGGAACAAAGGAAATTATGCAACACCACACAATTCTGGGATCTTTTTTACAGGGCTGCAGGCCTGGTCTGAAGACACGGGCGTCAATGAAGGTTTCCTGACCGACTAGAGTAGCCACCAGAGAGTTGTTTGTGTGGGTGTAAACGTCCAGTAAATGAACACATGAATTTTTGAAAAATTTTGAAAACAGAAAATCTTGAAAAGGTCCCGCCATCACACTCCGCTCACAAGAAATCAACCCGGCAGGTAGTGGTTAATGTAGGTCTAGAACATGACAACGGCTATGCACCAGAATTTATCTTGTCTTGAGTGTCCTCTAACCTAAAATTCGTTTAAAATTGAGAGTGTTTGTGATTTTGCATTTATTGCATTAACCTGTAAGATTGGACGTTTCCAAATGAAATAGATTAACGACGATTAGTTTATAAGGGATGGTGAAATGTAAGGATTGACATCTGTAGCCACAAAAATCTTGTTAAAAAATTTATCTTGAGCTAGTTATGAGGGAAATGAATATTCATCCTTTTCAAATTTCAAATGCACTAATAAAGTACTGTTCTTTGGATAAAACTTCACATTTATGACACCATGAATCTGTTGTCCATGTACACGCCTTGCATGTTTGTACAGTTTTCCTGATGAAAATTAGTTGTACTTACTGCAAATGATTTCCACTAAAAAAGTGACATGCACATGGTATCTGGGCCCCTTGGGATGTTATTACCATGAAGCAAAGTGTCCTCACTCATTCATGCACCGAACACATCAATTCATTAAAAGTGAACATAATGATAATAATATCAGACCATTTAGAAGGCACACAGTCTCTAACAATATCTGCTATTCAAAGGCGCTGATGTAGTATCATTATCCCTGCGCATTGGGCTCACATCATCTGAACATTCCTGAAACCATCTCAGCTCCCTGGGGAGTATACTAGCCTGGTGCTGCCATTGCAGACAAGGGGCAAACGGCTAAAACATGAAGACGTCAGTCATGTTGCTCCACACTGTAGCGTTGAATAATCAACTTCAGTTCAGCACCTTATTGTAGATCTGCATTTAGAATCATACAAAAATTACAATGAGCACATAACTCCTGAGATTTTTTTTGCCTTTAAGAAAGGTTCTCCTGCGATCAAAACATCAGGTCCTGTCTAACCAGCCAGCTGTATGCTGTAGTTTCTATGTGTGACATTTCTAGATTTAACTTTTTGTCTAGTTTTTGTCTGTTTCCACATCACTTGCAAGCACTCCGAAGTGATTTTGACATCGTGCCAGTCATCATGTAGGGGTAGCACAATTGTGTTTTTGGCACTTGGGCAATTCACCCTGCTCATTTCTGTACTCGTTGGCGAATGTCAGCCAGTGTGAGAACCAGCCAATTGCAGATAATCCCGGCCCGATACAACATACTGCCAGCATGTACCATTTTAAGAGTGGTAGCTAACTGCATGTTTAGTTGTTCTACTGTTTGCTTGTTTTTGTATTCAAAATGGATGATAAACTGAGTATTTTGTGATTGCTATTACCATAAAAAATTTAAAGGAATGACTCATTTAACACTTTTTTAATCAAGATTTGTTGAGAAAGGAATATTTTGAATGAAATACTGTATTGAACACAGAGAATGAAGTATTTATCATTTGTAACGTTGTGATATTTTTGTTTTATAGATTCACAGTTTGGGGGGACAGAACTCACATTTTAAGTTCATGTATGAAAAGCCTAACCTTTTATGTCGTGTAGATTTGTTGAAAGGTTTCAGAAAGAGAACTTGGGAAATGAAACTCGAATGATGGAAATTAACATAATTAAACCTATTAATATTTTTCACATGCCGTACATTTAGCTCTTTTTATGAAACGTTTCAAATCAAAAAATATTGCATTGACACATATAAACTCCCAACTCTTCAAGATTTCCCTCTCGTTTGGTTTTAAAGTGTGTCAGAAATATTGATGTCATCTTCTGTGCGGCTGGATAGGATTCTGTTTTACTGAAAATGACAAGATAATATCGACATTTTTTGAAAACCTGAATTGCCAAAGTTATGTATAAAACCCATTACCCAGTTATTGATTGTTTGGTCACGAACCACACCAAATCAAAGTTTGTACACATGTACAGTACCATATAGGCCTTTTTTAAAATTGTGGCTCTGTTCTGATCTTTTGGTTCCATCTTAAGTTATACAATCAGTGTTGAAGTGTGCTGTGGAAACCAAATAAACAATGTCCAGATGTTACTCTCATGTTAAACAATTGGATGTTTCTGAAGCAGAAAATGAAGGAGCGTTAAGCTTAAGGTACCTAACTCAAGGGACTAAATGCATCAAGGTGAAGTCTGAAACTGGAGATGGAAATGACACCTTCATTTGGAAAATTGCTACGACACAGCAACATAGACTCCTCACCAGCCGTTCATCCAAGTCTTGTTTTACCCTCCCCATCACAGATTACAGGGCTGTCTGATCTCATTCCTGCCTTGCTGTCAGCGGAGAGTGCGGCGGCTGCCTCCCGCAATTGGAGGCTACACCGGGACATCCTTGACAAGTACAGCCATCTACCTCGATGCCTGACCAGTGACCAGATCTACAGCAAGATCATGCCCGTCATCTTCAGGCACATCACGTCTCATGTACGTACAGTTTACCGTAGCCATCGATGTCACAGAAATCCCTGTGGGGATGGAGTGAAGATGATCTATGCGTCCATAAATTGTCTGCATTGGAACCAAATTCTGTCTTGTTACCATTTTCAACCTTTGTTGTAGAACCATTGCAAGAGTGTGGCTTCCACTTCTTGGACAAATTCATTAAATTTTGCCATCAGTACATTGTTTTTCACAAACTCAGGTTGTTTCTTGAAATTAAGACGACCAAGTTACCGGCATATGTTTCTGTTTGCAACAGTTGCTGTACAGGATAGTTCTACGTCTAGGGTACTGGAGAAAACCTGGTATTTTAACAATACAGCTGGTCACATATAATGGTCCTGCTTGAAACCTTACTTACAGTCTAGAAAGTCTTTAGACTGTATGCAGAGAGAATAAGTAAGGAAAATTTTGAAATTGCGCCTGAAAGGCCCATTGAGTTAGTGTGCTCTTTATAATTATGATTGTGTCTGATTTTTTGGTATGGTTTATGATTTTTTTCCCTGCCCCCCCTTTTCTTGCTGCTCATGGATTGCCAAGTTAATTTTTGTTCCTCGTGTAGAGTGTCTGAGAACAATATGGTGGACTTGTCACCTTACGAAATTAAAGTGATGGCATGTACATGTAGCCAGCCCGCTGAAGTTGTTGACACTGCAGCTTGGATTTAGGGATCGTTTCTGTTCTGTACTTACCTCTCTCTGTTTTGACGTGACGTTTCTAACACAGAGGGTATTACCAGTCCAGCTCGCTGCTGCCCGCACAATGTGTGTCTTCATGCGGTACAATCGCAAGCTAGAACAGAGACAAGACATGTGTGGGAAACTTATTGCAGGTGAGGCTTTGACCGTAAGCGAAGGACACGGACCATCACTGGACGGAGCAAATTCAGTAACGGCGCTTAAAAAATTGGAAGGAAGATGAGGAGTGCCCTTGTTGTGGTTCATTTGGATGTTCATGAGTAGCTTCAGTCTTGTTGAGATTAATCAGCCAGTTCAGTATTTCTAAAAAGCAAGGTCATTCAGAATGAAGCGCCTAACTGAAGCATCTTGATAAATTTGTAACTGTTCTCATGTGCTTTTTGTTCTTCTTTTCTGTATATTTCTTAATTTATATTTAATTATTGTCACAGTCTTTCCTTCATAAAATGGAAACTCTCTGTAATTCAGCTTTTGGCTGCAAATGAAATTTTGAAATAAACCATAATATTAATAATATCATGCTCCAACATGCTGATCGTGCAAGACAGCGCATAGCTATGCTGATACAAGATCCCTCATAAACACATATTACTGTCCTTAAAGGACCTCCAATGTGCTCCATTTTGGCTTGCCTTATTGAAATGCCAACAGGTTTATTTCATACAACCCAGGATGGACACCGTAGGACTTCCCTTCATCACTATTACACACGGTTTGGATTTGGTTAAATTTCCACTTAGTGCAATAATGAAAAGAAAAACCTTTTGACGTCGTTGATCTCAATTTTTTTTTGTGCATGTCCACAGAATGCTGCCATTCTAAGAACCACCGGTACAGGAAGCTTTTCATAGACATCTGCCACTTCTCTCTAGAGCTGTTCTCCAGGTCTTTCTTCAAGGAGAACCTTTACAACTACGTCATACAACTTGCACAAGATCCTGTACCAAATGTCAGGTAAAAAGACATCAAAACATCAGTATTTCACCTAAAGACAGATATGCTAAGTAGTGCAGATTTTCTGTATTTTGTGCGGAAAATGATGTAAAATACGGGAGTACTTTGCCCCTCCCCCCGAAAATATGTATTTACAGAAATAAACAATTGCAGCTCTAGTAGAGGCTGAAGCAAGTATAAAATATGTGTCTTGACTCCTGTTTCTTCGCATACCCTGTAGCGTTGAAATTGGTAGTTGGTATCAGTCTATAACTTGTGGAAGTTTTGGCACTGAAAACGGTGCATTCGTAACCATGACCATGTCTGAAACGGGCCACAGCTATGTATATTCCACATATTTCCAATGGAGCAAAGACCCAGATCAGACCTAGCTCTTATGCAATGGATTTGGATACAGCCCAAAGGCTGTGCAAAATTCAGCGCCCAAAAGTGGTTTGGACCTTTTCCAAATTTTAAATTGGGCTCTGTTTTGGGCTTAACCTGAGACTGAGCACTAGGCGGCGTTTGGAAAATGGCCCTGGTTTCTTTGGGCAGTGCATTAGCAATGTATGCTTAGATCGGAAACCAACCAAGTATGAAACTAACTTGATCCTCTCTGACACCACTTGCGTGCACGTGCGTGAGGGAATGGGTAAAGTTGTTCTCATGTTGACTCGTACCCCAGATCGTGCGTGTAATGCTGTGTCGCGGTGCGCGATGTATCCCCTTTCCGCGTGGCATCCAGCTCACGTTCGTTGGCATCCAGCACCCAGTGACCACAAGTAGTACCGCCCTGTTTGTAGTACTGTGTAACAAAGTGATCTCATCCGTCGTTTCGGCCAATCGCATTGCTTGTCTTAACAATTCTCTGGATTTGAATAATTTTCTGAAAAGTGGAAGAGAGCTGCAAGTGAGTCTAACAAATAATTGTCAGGAACCATTGACTACACAGATAAGGCAATTTTGAAAAACACGGATTTTGGTTCAAAAATACTGATTTGAGGTCTAAAGAATACTGGAAAACAGTTTTCAAACTTGGCATGTCTGTAAAGAAGACCAGAGCAGGCTACTTGAAATGTCAAATTATTTACACCTAGGTGCTTCTCTTGACCCCACAGTCTTGAAGAAATGATTCCATGGTTTTACCACAAATCTCTCTTGTCTTTATTCCTTTTAGGGCCTGCTTGTTCCACACAGATTTGGATCTTGACACTGGTTTGCTCAATCCGTTTAGGCACAGTTTGGTGTCAGTGAACCAACGACGGAGCACTGATCATGATCCAGATCCATGTGAAACAAACAGGCCCTATGAGTATTCAACACTGAAAAACAGTCACTGCTTTACATTAATCCCAACCCCAGTTTTAGCTTCAGAACTCGTCTTATGAAAAGAGTGAAGAGCTAGTCAGAATCTTTTCAGCGGACCTTCTCCCGCCTCACTGCCATTCTCTATCATTTTTTTCATCTGTAGGTTAAAGTTTTGCTCCTTGTTACCGTCACTTAAAGCTCAGTTCAAGCTGCCTAAGGACTTGCAGCTGTCACAGCAGCTGGAGACAATAGTCAGGCGACTGCTCAGCATGGAGAGTGATCAAGATGTAGTTACGGCTGTCAGAAGGGTAGGTACCGTCCGCATCTCTCTGTGTAGTCACTGTCTGAGATTCTTTTGGTTTGAAGAGACACGTTGCCTTGCCAACACTTAGACTGTGTCTGAAATGGGCTTCCAGAGCTATGGCTTGATCTATTGTCTGCACATCTCCATATATTTCTAATGGATTGAAGACCTAGACCTAGCCTTAGACAGCAGATTTGGATGCAGCTGTGGTTGACCTCGTTGTGATTTCTAGATGCTGTTTACATGGGAAGTGCTGATCCCTTTGGTCCTCTGTGGAATCATATCTTCGACTTGTGCTTTCTGATACAAACTAAATATCTTTGCAGGGCCATTTCAAAATGCAAATGTCTCAAATGCCAGGATCATGGAAACAGAAATTTAATTGAGCAAAAGGACAAGAGGAACTGATATGTAAAGAGTGCAGCATTATTCATTGGCACCTGTGAGATCAGTTCACAGTTTTATAGTGATTTCAACCTGATCTTTGCAGAAATACTTTCGAGCTGTTAACCCACTGCATGCTTATTTTGCCTGTGGAAAATTGCTGTTTTTTATCTCTTGCAAGGTTTTACCTTAGATTCCAATCCTTTCTTGTGATAAAGACACTGTTTCACTTAGTTGCTGAAAAAAAATTAGTGATGTTTGCCTTGACTTTAAATGTTTTCATTACAGGCTGTATTGGAGCTGGATAAGATTCCGATGTGTGTTGGATCTGTAAGTTGCCATTTGTGCTTATTATATCTGTGTGTCCTTGTGTTTACTTGTGAGGGAATAATGATTTGGGATTCTGATCTTTTTTTTAATCCAGTATTTCTTCAGCATGACCAAAGGACACAGATATTCAGATTTTCACAGAAAATTGTGATTTCAGATATCAGATTGAAAGCTGAAAACACCCAAAAATATTTTCTAGAAGATTTTATTTTTTTTTGCAGCAAATTAAATCAATTTTTTATGCACAGAGAATGATGCAAACTGCGCAACTTATTCCGAAAATTGGTTCCCTGGAGAATATCAACTTTCACATTTAAGGAGAAGATGAATCAGATTCTACTCATTTTGTTTTCATTTCATGCATGATTGATTACGGCATTTCATGATTTTGGTTAGACCACATTACTGCCGTATTATTTATAACCTATTAGACCAGAATGTGAAAAGTGCAGGCATGGGAATCTTTCCGGTTTAACGGAAATCAGGTTGTTTTCCCTTCAGATTTGTGGTCTTCGTGTTCAGTGTAAGATTGGAATAAAATCTTTTGGGGGAGGGGGGATAAGTTGTTGGGGGGGGTAAATGTTGGTTGACTACGCGGTGTGCAAAATTTCCCAAATTTCCAGTGAAATTTGTACGTTGAAACAATTTGATTCATGTGTTGCTTTGGGATGTATAAGCAATACCCTTCGAAATGTACAAGGTACGTAGGAAACAAAGAATGAATTTCGCGGATTCCCACAAACCTAAATTCTCTTTACGTAGCTAAAGAAGGGAACCAGTGACGAGTGGTTAATTCCTCTCACATGACCGGTCATTCTCTTAATTATCATATGTATGCATGCGCATTACTCCCAATGGGTCCTTGTTTCATAGAGATGTAAATTCATGACAGCGCTGCTGCATGGCCATGTGCGAACTGGCTTTTGGAAATTGGTACAAGTACATGTACGTGTGTATGTATACACGTTCTCATGCAGTCGGGAAAAAATCGAAATCATGGCAGAGGGAAAGAAGTTTGTTGAGCGTGGAGCTGCCGATCTGAAAGAGATTGACAAATCATTAAGAGTTAGCAATTAAGAATAATTTAAAGATAATGAGAAATATCATTACTATTGAGAAGATTTTGCTTCAATTACTTAGAGGCAAAAGGGCCATGAATTGCCTCATATTGTACCACAGAGCATCTACAATCCAAAATTTTCTAGGGCCCTTAAGCAGGCCCAGACCCCACGCCATAAGGGCTTTGTGCTCCACGCTCGCAGTAGTCTCCCCCTGATAAATTTCATCACAAATAGTTTTCAGGTTTTTTTCTTCGTGCCCATCGACATGCCTGCAAGTAGTGGGTTTCATTGTCTGTACATACAAATGACATACATGTACATCTGGTAATAGAGATTTGACTTTGTTTTGTCTAGTTACTATGGGATCAGTATTATTGTCCACGTTCTGATGAGCATGTGTCTTTGACATAGTGCTCTCAGCAGTCAGCGCATAGAACCCTTTTAACCGTCCTTTCCAGTGGCATCACGGCATTGACTCTGGTTTCTTGACTACAGCTGTCCTCCAAGCGGCAGGCGGAAGACGACCTCCTGGACCAGAAGAAGGAGGAGGATGAGCAGCTGCTGCTGGAGATGGAGAGGCGAGAGCAGGAGGATGCAGAGGGCAAGGCCGGCAGCGGCACCAAGGTTCCCAGCTCGGCCAAGGGAGGCGATAAGAGGAAGACAGCCGACAGTAAGTTGACGGGGCCGATGGCTACAACAGCCAGTGCAGCGGCGAAGAAAGGTGAGCTACTAAGCCAGTTGGTATTAATTATTTCTGGTAATGAAACCAAAGCTTCCTCAAAAGTGCTCAAGTCACTGTTGCCAGTGTTGTCCAGACTTCTTAAGACTGTCACAAGACTTCACAAAACCATCCCCAAACCGACAAAAGACTCCCCAGTCTGAACTCAAACCAACTGCAACAGAAACACTCTTGTCATCGTTAATCCCGTTACTTGTGGCTGGGCTTGTGGCCGGTCTTGTGGTTGTCTAGACTTCAACACTGATCATAGCTCGAAAGCCTAGAGAAACCTTGACGAGGAGACGGTGAGAAGCAGTAACAATTGTGGAGGTGGAGGAAAACCACAGGAGAATATTCAGCGTATAACCCCACAGAGATAGGTAGGGACTGACAGCCCAATCCCTAAGTCAGCCTGGGTTGGGATTCGAACCCGGGCCACAGAGGTGAAAGACGAGGCAAGTACCACTGCACCAACCTGACTGATGGCAGTGGCTTTGAAAAACCCTAAGCTTTGCCTAATGCAGTGATATTTTGTGTAATTGTCATTGTGCAGTGGGGGTGAAAGGTAGTGCTGGAAAGAACTACATGCACTCTACTTTTGCTTGTCAGGCTTGCAGTGTGTCAGACAATCCATACGGTAATGGGACTGTTAGTTACGTAAAGTCTCCAACATCTGCTCCCTGCTGTGCAATGTCTTAAATTCAAATGACAGTTATAATGACGAAGCAGGGAGGCCCCTCCATTTGTAGGTTGTGACATAGTGTAGACTTCTTTTTGGCAACAAACCTGAAAGGTTTTTATATCGACATTGTTACCAGAAAGAATCCAGAAAAGAAAAATCCTGCTCTTCTCTGCACCATCTGACTTGCAGTGCACGATGACGTGACATTCGTGTTGGTGTGACCAGACAGGCCGATCTTAGAAGCAGTCTCTTTCAAGATTTGTTATGTCCGTTTTCCCTCTTAGTTACAAAACCAGCCAAGACTGGAAGTGCAACCGGTAAAAGGCCGCCTCCTGCATCCTCCAGCAACACGTCGGTGCAGTCCACCAACAGAGGTGAATTTCACTTTTTACGAATAGAAAGTTCTATTGAAATTTTTTCGATAATGCCAAATAAAAGGACAAATTAAATTGTCCAGTAGCAAGGATCATTTTTTCTGAGAAGGCAAAATTCACCAAGCCCAGCTTCCAAGTTACAGAAACAATTTTGAATTGGCCAAAATTATTTGACAGGTCCTGGAGCAGTCTAAACCAGTTTTTGATTACTTTTCATTTATTGATGTACGTTTGTGTAAGGTGTCAACTACATGTATGTTACAGTGCTGTCAGGCTGAATTCTCTCTGGTTACAAAGCATGATCGAGTTTGCTTTATCTGCATAACGCTCACAGTATGCACCTTTGAATCCAATGTCACAGTGTCAGCTTACTGTTTTCACTCTGAAAGAAATGTCTGTAGTTTATTTGATTGGGTGAAGTAAGCAGCTCATAGTACATAGGAAAGAAAACATGGTAAGGTGCATTTGTGATATCCAACTGAAGAGAATTCATACGCTGTGTTAAAGCCAGGAGAAAAGGCGCTTCGTAAGTTTAACTGATATGGTACACAAATGCGTGGCACTCCTCGAATACTTCACAATCGCCTTTTTTTGATAACAGGGACAAAAATGGGCAAAGCGCCAGGCAAGAAGTCACTGGAGAATGCCACCTTTGCAGCCCCCACTGCCAGCAGTGCATCCAAGGTGACCACACCGTCAGTCAAGGCTGGGAAGAAATCACCAGTACCAGAGCCCAACAACAACAAGCCCACTTCCAAGTAAGTAACTACATCCCACGGCAAATAGTCAAGCTTCATCATGTTTACGCCCCCCAAAAAACCCATCCCCCCCAAAAAAAATACAAAATACAAAAAGGAAAACACATTTTCGAGGCTTTATTTACCTTGAGTATAAGCACCCCTCATCGGTTGGAAAAAACCGTATTGATGGGGAGTGTTCATTTTGTCGGTAGAGATGCGACTGCGGTGCTTGCATTTCATAGTCATTTGTAAACCAACGACGAGCAGTTCCCACCAAAGGAGCCTCTGTTGCTAGGAAAATTGCGCCCTCTCTTGGTGCCACTTGGAGCTCATTACCAAGGGCAT